TCGCTCGGACGCCCCTTTCCTGTGCATATATTTCGGTTCCGCGCGAACGCTTTTGCTCGATGGTCCAGGATGCTCCTCGATGGTCCTCGCCGAGAAAGAATAATTACGCGTCCAAACGATGCCAACTTGGGGGCGCCTCATTTATTGCCGCCGCCTTCCACCGGCCTCCCGACGGCTTCCGCCAGCGGAGGGCCGCCCATCCGCCAGCTTCCGCTGGTGCTCCGCCGGCGAAGGAGGCCTCGTTGTACTTCCGCCGCCTTCCGCCGCCCTTCCGCCGAGGGAGAGGTGCCAACTCTTTCGATCCTCGGGGAGGGGGGGAGGAACAGGGGAGGAGCAGGAGGAGGAGGAGGACGAGGAGGAGGCGGAGGAAGAGGAGGAGGAGGCGGAGGTTGTTCTTTCCTTGGGGGAGCGGGCGGGCGAAAAGGGGGGAAGAGAGGAGGCTCCGACACCAACAGCGAAGCTGGCACGGGCCTGAAAACCAAGGGGGTGAGAGCGTCCTTCTCACGCTGACTCCTCCCTCGGCAGTTCTGGCTATCTGCTGGGGGAGTTTCCCCCTCAAGAAAGCTGCGATGTTGTATTGCCGTCGCGAGGTGAATTGTTCGCCTCTGGCGATTCTGCAGGGGATTCCGAGCCCTTCCTCAAGAACTCGAACAACTGCGTGCTGCCGCAAGCCCCACAAAAAAACCTCGATCTCTCTGGGCTGTGCGGGAGCTCTGGATTTCACGCCCAGAGCAGACCGAGGGGGAGACGACAGCAGATGTGCCAGGGCACAGGGGTCAAGGGGAAACAACACACAATTTGTTTCCCAGTACGTCCGTCACACTGGGAGCACTGCCAAAACGGTTTGTGAGGGTTCGGGACCATGTGATCCGACTCCGTCAGAACTTTGGTCAGCTTGAGAGCGTGCCTGAGCACCGCGGGAACTCTGGGCCTCACCACCTTCGGCCCCGGAAGTGGCGGGTGGCGAAAACGAGCCGAATCCAGCATCGCGGCGGCAACGTGACGCACGAGCTGAGCACCCGCAGTTTGGGCGGAGGGGAACTGTGCCTCATCCGCCCGAAATCCACCTAGTTCATCTACCAGCTTATTTGTGCGCCAATGAAACGGAGAGAAACCTTTCTGGACGGCCCCATCCGCTGGCAAGTGGGGGCTCTACCCAAAAGAGTTCGACCTGAATGCCTTCGCAGTTTCTGAGCACTCGGTAGAGCTCGAGCCAGTTTGCACGATTCGGCTAAGACACAGTACATCTACAAAGCTTCTCATATCTTCAGAGTACGCAAATTGTGTCAGCGATGTAAATGCACATTGCATGAGCGGGGTAAGCCGCCGAAACCTGACGAAAAACAAGAAAGGCTCGGAGCTCAGCCCTGTTGGCTGACTGCTTGAGTTCCGAGGCCCCCCCAGGACGCTAATTCGCACAAGCTGCCCTGGCGGCAATTGGAACCACCCTTAAATTGCGCGTCGCCCAGCTTATTCGCCTCATCATTGCATCCGATGAGTGGCCCCCCCCCCGCCAGGGGCCAAGGGGAAAAACCACGCGATTCGTTTCCCAGTACGTCCGTCACACTGGGAGCACTGCTAAAACGGTTTGTGTCCGACTCCGTCAGAACTTCGGTCAGCTTGAGAGCGTGCCTGAGCACCGCGGGAACTCTGGGCCTCACCACCTTCGGCCTCGGAAGTGGCGGGTGGCAAAAACGAGCCGAATCCAGCATCGCGGCGGCAACGTGACGTCTAACCTTGAACGCCAACGCATGCACGAGCTGAGCACCCGCAGTTTGGGCGGAGGGGAACTGTGCCTCATCCGCCCGAAATCCACCTAGTTCATCTACCAGCTTATTTGTGCGCCAATGAAACGGAGAGAAACCTTTCTGGACGGCCCCATCTAAAGGGGGGCTCGACCAAAAAAAGTTCAACCTGAATGCCTTCGCAGTTTCTGAGCACTTGGTAGAGCTCGAGCCAGTCTGCACGATTCGGCTAAGGCACAGTACCTCTACAAAGCTTCTTGCTACAATTCTCTGAACGTCTTTCTCTGTCCCTCTCGGCCGCAACCGTTTCTCGCGCAAGTCTTTTTGAGGGCGGCGACGCCTGAGGTGAATGATCCTGACGGTCACAGCTGGCCTGTGGGAGGCCGCCAAGTTGATTTGGCCTTCCATCTCACCCATAGCTTCGTCAGCCCTTTCGTGTGCAGTGCAGAGCAGTTGCCTGGGTTCCCCGTTCAGCTTCTGTATCTTTACGTTCGTGTTCGGACTGGCAGTTGGTGCGGCTCTCAACTCTGTTGCTTGGAGACGCCATGCTGGATCTTCCGAAGAAGTATATGCGCCCAGGCAGCGAGGTGGTCGTTCGCTACGACACAGATCGCAGGATGTGGCACCATCGTCTGTTGATCGAATATTGCACCGCGCCAGTCATGTTTCGCGTGATGGGCGCACCTCCCGACGAGCCAGGAGCGGTGATCATGTGGGTGATGACTCCTACAGGGACATATACCCGGAGGAGCTGAGCGTGCCTCCGCTGCTCGGCATCGCGCCGTGCGACCTCGAGGGAGCCCCGATCCGCGATCAGTGCCTCGGTCCACAGTCACACTGGGGGCGGGTGTTCGCATCTGGACAGGTGCTGAGGCCCGTGCAGTACGAGAGGGCTCGAGCAGCATGTCGGTCTCAGAATCAGGGTCGTCCGATTCCAGCTCTGGACGCGGACACCGACGAGGGCGACGATAGGCTGGTGGAGGCTGAGGAAGGAGGCTTGGCACCGACTGGGACGCAGACGCCCGAGGTCACTGCTGCACCGCCTCTGCCGCCCCCCGGCTTGTCTTCCGACGAGGATCGTTCGCTGAAGGTGCTGGGAACTCTGCCGGTCACGTGTGGACTGGGCCGCCTGCCAGCACCCGATCATCGTTGGTGCGACGTCGGCGGGTCCAGCATCGTACCACTCGACTCTCCTATGGGTCAGGCTTGGGTTCTTGGTCCACAGTTCGGGCTACTGCAGTAGGGTGACCAGCTCAAGCTGATCGCAGATCGGAACCTCGCGACGGGTGAGGCTGGCGACGATGCCGCAGAGCTGGAGCTAGATGCGCGCATCCTGGAAGTCACCCGGGATCGACTAGGCAGGCGCTTCAAGGATTTCAAGATTGCGGTCGACCTAGTCACGGAGACGTCTTGGGACTCATGGCCCCTCACGGGGCCGAGGACAACCAAGTGGTGCTTGCAGTTCATTCTCCAGACCAACGGTCACCCGTGAGCTCGGCACGCGTGGTGGAAGTCGACGTGTAACCTCTCGATCGCAGATCCTGGCGTATCGGACCACGAGACGGCCATGAAGGCGGTGGAGTATGCCCTGACTTATGACCAAGTCAACGCCGCGGAGCTATCTTTCGTGGAGCTGCTGCTCAGACGGGCGCAGCTAGCCGAGTACCGCCACAAGCACCGTTTGCTGAAGACGGACAACCAGGTCGACCCCCTGTTGGCGGATGAGTTCTTGTACTTGGGGGTCGGCGAGACGCGCGGCCAGCTCATGCTCTGCCCTCTCCTCGAGGAGTATGTGGCCTCGGAGCTCCACCGCGAGAGCACCATAGCTAAGGAGTCGCGGAAGCTCAACGAGGAGAGGAGGCTGCAGGCAGGGCAGGCAGCGCACGCTGGCCGTCATCAGGGTTCAGTCGACGCAGCTGCAGGCTTTCTACAATACCCCGATGGGCCGAAGGGGAAGTCAAAGGCCGAGCGAGCCGCCGCCAAGGCATCTGCCAAAGCCCAGAGAGAGGCTGGAGCGTCTGCCGGTGCGGGGGCTGGGAAGTCTTGAGCCTTGAGCACCCAGGCGGCTGGCTTTCCCGCCCAGCCGCCAACATCAGGGATGCCGATAGGTCGTGAGCTGCTACCGATGGCTCCGCCGTTTCCTCAAGAAGATCAGTTTTGTCAACCAGCCTCTGGGTGCCGTGCAGTGCGCCGTCGCGCGCATATTCGTCGGCATTGGCAGGCTTGGGCTAAGTCGGCAGTGGAGTGCCTCAACGAGATGTTCGGTTGCACAACTCATCCTCCTCCAGGCCTGGGTGAGTCTGTTGCCCAACGCCGCAGTGTCGAGATCATTTCGGACATCTACAGGGCCGTACCGCCGCCACCATGCACAGCCGCGCAAGCCCTGAGCGAGCTTGGCGGCGGTCGTCCGGGTTACGCTGACAGCGACCCACGACGCAGCTTCCAGCCTGACTTGGTCTCGTTGCCCTCCCTGGGCGGCCTCGCGGACGGCGAGCAGGTGCTGTCTGGCTTGGCCTTGCAACGCTGGAAGTCTATTTCGACTAGCTCGCGGAGAGAGTCATCTTCCGGCTCTACGCTTGCTGCTACCAACATTCAACCGTATAGTGATCTGGCCCTCATGAAGGACCAGGTCCGCTACAGTAGCTTCATCGCGCAGATGCTCCAAGCCAACTTAGTCAGCATCCACCAGGGCGCCCCCGCCACGGTTGGCATCTTCTTCGTTGCGAAGAAGGGCGGGCGGCTGCGGATGACACTGGACACCAGGGCGGTCAACGACTTGTTCGAGGAGCCCGCCCACTCGAGGCTCCCCACAACGGCCTCGTGGGCGTCAGTGGAGATTGGGCTGTCGGATGATTTGATCCTGTCTCAGATGGACGTCGATAGCGCTTTCTATCGATGCAAAGCCACTCCTGGAGTTTCAGAGTACTTCGCTTTACCTCGCGCGTCGGCAAAGCACCTCCACCGCGCCAACCCCAAGTTAGCCAGCAAGCTCGACCTGCCATCGTCGGGCTACGTCACTCCGCATTTGGAGGTCATGGCGATGGGCTGGTCTTGGGCCCTCTACTTCTGTCAGGCCATGGTGACGGCCAGTGCTCTCCGAGCGGGCGTGCCCCCCGAGGCATTCCTGCTCGACAAGAAGCAGGCCCCAGACATCACCGACGGCCAGTTCGGCACCGCCATCTACGTTGACAACGCGGGGTCGTGGGCACCGACGACGGGGTCGTGAGGGACATGGCCAAGAAATTGTACGCCCAGCTGGCTGCGGACGGACTGCAGTGCAAGGAGCTCGAGCACGGACTTCCGGAGACGCAATTCACTGGCATGACGCTGGACCGCGCTACCGGGCGGATCTCAGTCGGCCACCGCCGCTGCTGGAAGGTGCGGCTTGCTACCGCAGCTCTCCTGGAGGACGGGTATGCATCGGGCAAGTCGCTTCACCGCATCGTGGGCCACTTCGCCTGGTCCGCCATCCTGAGGAGGTGCTTGCTTAGCATTCCGCATGCCATCTACCGCTTTATAGACTTCGCAGGGGGCAGTCGCGTGAGGCTCTGGCCCGCTGTGATGAAGGAGCTTCGTTGGATGATGGTGTTGCTGCCCCTTGCCTACCCCGACAGCAAGAGGCCCCGGTGCCAGTTGGTGTCAGCGTCCGGCTCAGAGGGCGCCAACGCCACAGACAATGGGGGCTTCGGCATAGTAGCTAAGCGCTACACAGTTGACAAGGTGAGAGCTTGGGGGCGTCAGAGCGAGCGCTGGAGGTTCTTTGTCGAGGACGCCGCGCATGCACGTCAGCGAGCTTTCGATGGCGCCGAGAAGCCTCAGCTAGGCTCCAGCTCATTGGCCGACATACCGCCCGATGAGGTACCTTTAGAGCTGCTTGATGTGCATCGAGATAGTATAGGTGACTTCAACTCTCGGGGACTGAAGGTGCGAGGGCGCTGGCGCGTAGCCGAGAACATCACTTCCTCGGAGGGGCGCGCCACCGTTATTGCTGCCAGAAATCGTCTTCGATCAGTGCGCCAGTTCTCTCATCGTCACCTCTTCTTGGGAGACAATCTTGGCTTTGTCCTGGCGCAGGGGAAGGGGCGTGCTAGCAGCGCTACCATCGATCGACATTGTCGCCAGCTGGCCGCTCTGTCCATGGCGTCAGACTCAGACTTCGTGTCCAGGTGGGTACCCTCAGAGTTCAATCCTGCCGACGCCGCTTCACGGTTCAAGTCGGGGCCGCCCGTTCAGGGCGGAGGCGGCTGGCGTGATGCTCGCCCCCCTTGTGCAGCCCGAGATGGCGAGGCGCGCGCCGCACTCCGGGCTGCTGTCGACGAGCTCGCCAGGGCCGATGCCGATTCGGGCGCCCTTTTCGAGTTCGATGACGCGGACTGGCATCCGAGCAGCGGGCCTTGCCCGTTGGGATCACCAGGCGATTGGCACAGCTGGGACGAGGATGGGTTCTACGAGGACTCCGATTCTGACGACTCAGCCTCCGAGCAGCTTGGCCCTGAGGAGCATGCCATTGCCAGCCGCGAGACCTGTGACAGAGGTCAGCCAGCAGCCAGTGGGCCAACAACGCAGGCAGAGAGCACGGCGTCGTCAGCTTGCTCATCAGAGCGAGGCCCGCCACGCTCGCAACTTCGGCCAGTACTTCTTGGAGGTGAACAAGGTGACCCGTCCTTCTGCGATGATGTACGACAGATACTTTCGGGACTTCCAGACGTAGGCCAGCGACAACGGCCTGCCCCTGAGCACCACCGACGACATTTCCACGGCGATGCTCGAAAACCTGGAGGACCTGTACTTCACGGGCCACAGCCACGACTCGGGCGAGAAGGTGATCGCAGCTCTCGAGCACAGGGTGCCTGGGACCCGCAGCGGCAAGGTGCTGGAGCGGGCCAAGATGGCGCTGAAGGGCTTCAGGCGTTTGGCTCCAGGTCTCAGCAGAGCGCCGTTACCTAGGATAGGACTGTGCGCGCTGGTGGGGGGCAGCCCTCCAGATGGGCGAGCTGGAGTTCGGCCAGTGCCTGATCTTCTTGTTCCGCACGTACCTGAGGCCGAGCGAGTGCTTGGGGCTGGAGGTCAAACAGCTCATCCCGCCGCTGCCGGGCTCGGGCACGACGTGCTGGGCGCTGTTGTTGGCCCCCGAGGAAGAGGCGATCTCCACGAAGACCAAGGAGTTCGACGGGAGCCTCCTGCTCGACAGCCCAGAGCTGGTCTTCTTGTACCCGCGATTCTCCACCTTGAAGAAGCGCTCTGGCCACGAGAACGTATGGTCCTTCGACTATCGGAGGTTCTCGAGCCTTTTCAGGCGGTCGCCGAGCTCGCGGGACCAGGCCAGTCGAATCTCGACCCGTACACGACGAGGCACGGCGGCGCCAGCGACGACGCCCTACGCCAGACCCGCAGCATGGAGGCCATCAAACGACGCGGTCGCTGGGCAGCGGACACCTCGGTGAAGCGCTACGAGAAGCACGCCAGGGTTTTCAAGTCGCTCGAGTGCCTGCCCGAGAAGGCCCGCGACTACGGCCTGGCGGTGGAGCGTCAGCTGGAGGCCCTTCTGTCGCTCCAGGCGCGGGTGCCCGCGCCGCCCGGCCTGCGCAGCAAGCGACTGAGGCCAGCCCTGGAGTGAGCTCGACGGCCACGTTGAGACGACCATTCCACGGAGGGCGGGAAGATCACAACGTGGGTTGGGAAGACGACTTGCCTGCACATAAAATCCGAGCGAGACTTCGTAAGTTGTTTCAAGGCGCATCATCTCACAGACATGACAATCGTGTGTTTCTGGACATCTTCTCTGGCACTGGTGCGGTAGGAAAGCACCTTGAGGCCAGACAGGAACGTTGCATCAGTTTCGACTCTCTTAACGGTGGCGAATATGACTTGACCAATCCCGTTGTAGTTAACGTGATCTTGGGTTGGATTCATTCTCACAGTGTCAAAGCAGTGTTTGCAGCTTTTCCATGCAGCAGTTGGACGCCAGCACTATTCAAGCATATTCGAAAATCGTGGTGCCCTTACGGGATTCCTGGCCCCACGCCCGCTGAAGCGGCTAGGCTGCGGATGGGAAATGAAACCTTGAGGGTTGCATGTAGGCTTGTTAGGGCTTGCATAAGGTGCCGCGTTCCGATCCTGCTTGAGAGCCCTCATGCGTCCAAAGCGTGGCGTGAACATCGCATGACGGCCTTGATAGGCCACCGATCCTGCAGGCACCTTGTGGTTGACCAATGGGCGTTTGGAGCACGTTGGCGCAAACGAACTCGTTTTGTAAGCTGGCACGTTCCCTCCCTCCGTCACGAGCACGTCTTGTGCACGGGTCGCGGGTGTTGTAGTTTCAGTCTTAAGCCACATATCATCTTGCGCGGCAAGGCCCCAGGTACCAAAATTAATATGACCGCTCTCGCGGCGTCATACCCAAGGAAACTGACCGCCGCGATTTCAATTTGGCTCTCGGTCTGTGGAGGCCATTCATTTAGCCCATCTAAATCGTTTATGTGGGTAGGTTTCACCTCAGGCGGCTCCAGAGCACTGTATGGGTTTGGGGTCTGCAATTTTAGTTTGAATTACCTCGTCCGAGGCTCGGAGGCCGCGCCGGCCTATGCCTCGGCCGCATCGCTCGAGCTTGTGAGTTGTTTCGACACGCAGTGAAGTCAGTCATAAATTGAAAATCATGAGACCGGATGCGGCAGTCTGTAATCCTGAGGCCGTTGCCCGATTCCGTCTGGCCTTGGGGGAGAGAGATGCCACAGTTCTCTGAACGTCTTTCTCTGTCCCTCTCGGCCGCAACCGTTTCTCGCTCAAGTCTTTCCGCCCACCGCCCCCGCCACTCGCCACATGGTTGAGGGTCTGCAGTTTTAGTTTGAGTTACCTCGTCCGAGGCTCGGGGGCCGCGCCGGCCTACGCCTCGGCCGCATCGCTCGAGCTTGTGAGTCGTTTCGACATGCAGTGAAGTCAGTCACGGATTGAAAATCCTGAGAACGGATGCGACAGTCTTTAATCCTGAGGCTGTTGCCCGATTCCGTCTGGCCTTGGGGGAGAGAGAAATATCTTCAGAGTACGCAAATAGTGTCAGCGATGCAAACGCACATTGCATGAGCGGGGCAACCCGCCGAAGCCTGACGAAAAACAAGAAAGGCTCGGAGCTCAGCCCTGTTGACTGACTGCTTGAGTTCCGAGGGCCCCCCCAGGACGCTAATTCGCACAGGCTGCCCTGGCGGCAATTGGAACCACCCCTAAATTGCGCGTCGCCCAGCATATTCGCCTCAGCATTGGATCCGTTGAGTGACCCCCCCGCCGCGGGCATCGCCACCTCCCAGAAACGCGCGAGCGGGGCTGGAGAGGTCCCGCGAGGAGAAGCGGAAGTCCAAGGGAGGCGGAGACTCGGGGGAGCATAGACCGGGCTCCAACCTGCTGGGGTTAAACCACGGTGCCAGAAGCAGAGGAAGCCATCGCATTCCTCCCTGGCTCTCTCGATCAAAGACCGCGGCGCACAGTGCTCTAACGCTAGATTACAAGGGCCTCCCCAACGGACGTGCGTTGGGCACCCGGGAGCAATAATACATCGGGCACAAGTCGGCTCCACTTCTGGATGGATATCACGCGCTCTCTGCACGGGCCAGATGTTACCCGTCGCTACAGCCTACTGGGCCCCGAACAATGAAGACCCCCCCCCCCCCCCTTCCATGCGGAGCCCTCCGAGAAAACGCCGAATGGAGTCCTGGCGCAGGGTGCCACGCCTAGCCCTGCCTCTGCGCACTCGCTTGCAGCAGTCTGCCACGTGGACCAGCGAATCGCAAGCGAAAAAAACGATGTCAAATCAGAGAAGCCTGCGCCCCCGGGCCCGTCCTTTTCGGCCGGGGCAAAAAACTCCACATGGTCAGGGCTGCGCCAACGCCAGGGCCCCATGGCCCCCAGCCGTCGCGCAGCAAGAGGCAGACCGCGGCGGAGCAGAAGACCCTCGCGCGGCGAGAACGCGCAGACGGCTTCCTGCCGCGAGGTTCGCCGCCGCTCTCCTCCACGCGCGAATGGCGAGCTCGGCAGTGGCGACGGCTGGGCCCTTGTGCCCCATGCCCAACTGCAGCTGCGTAGTTAAAGATCTCTGCGTGGATGCGCGAATCAAGAATCCGCCCGGAGTACGTCTCCGCTGCCGACGCACTGAAGGCGGCGCACCGCAGACCTTGCCCGCGCAGGAAACACACGGCATGGCCACAGCTGCCAAGCTGCCTCTGGAGATGTCAGCCATCTCGCTGAAACGTCGGCGCGCGTTTTGTTAAACTCTCTTCTTGTGCCGAAGCCTACCTCCTCGTGTGCGCTCTGTCAATGCCGAGGTCCACAGCCGCGTCGTTGGGCGGCGCCCTACGGCCCATGGCGATCCAGCGGCCTCGCTCGAACCCACGACAACCGACTTGGAAGAAATGGCGAGGCCCGAACTCTTGCAATATTCGGTCAACATCTTCAAGACACCCAACAGCTGCCTGACGGCGAACTTCCCGGATGCCACTAGCCTCGCGTTCAGGTCACCGTCCCGGGGCTCGGCTGCGACCGATCTAAAGTAAGCGCGCGGCTTCGCAGGAGCGCGGCATGTAGCGCGCGCCTCGAAAGATCCACAGCTGGCCCAAATCCCGCCACCATCGCTCGCCGCGGCCCGACGGGGCGCGAGAAGTTACCCGACTCCGCGGGGGCGCGGGGCGCGAAACACTGCTGCATAGTGAACGCGAGCGCACGCGGGGGGAGATCCAAGTCATCCGCGGTCTCCACGGGGCAAATCCAGCCCAGCGAATCGCAAAAAGCGCGGAGATCATATGGCACTTCCACGCGAACCAAATCTTGGAGCGGGGACGCTGTAACTGCTTCCTCTCCAAAGCTGTTAGTCAGCAAAACACATGCAGAAGAATATCCCGATATAACTCCACCCCAACTGCCTGCTGCCATCTCACTGTTCCGGATCAATGCCCCGAATCGAACCCCGCATTCGAACAAGCTGCGCGGCGACGCCAATGGCTCGGCCATCATCCGTGAATTTCGGTAGGGGCTCGCGGGCCATCGCATGACAGCCCGCGAAATTCGCGGACGGCCACGGCCTCGCAGCCTCTCGTTTTCTTAAAAGATGTGCACATGAGGCCCTCCCTAAGGGACTCCAACGTGATTAATTCCAGATCAACCGCCGCCGCCATCCGCCGCGCGCGCTGAATAGCTTCGGCCGCCCCGTTGGGAGAGGACCTCAAACCCGACCATTGCTGCTGCCACCGAAATTGTTCAACAATGACTGCTAAAGATTTGGCGACCGCCTGCTGCGCCACAATGATCACGGTGGGGGGGCCTGATACGAAATCTTGCAACCTGCTGGGCGGCGCAGCCGACCTTGCGAGCATCCACGCATCAAGACTTCGCCGTGCTGCCACTGCTGAAAATCTTCGAGCTCGAACTGATTATTCTCCACTATCTGCGAGTCTGTTCTTCCGGCCCAAGTCGCATCCCTGGACTCGGCGCAACACGCAATGCCAGTGGCGTCTTGAGGCGGGAGACGTGGGCAACGCAGTGGAAGTGGGCATGGTGGCGACCATATCCATCACGCTACCATCAGCGCGCCTGCCTCGAGCACCGTCCCCCTGTGATCTGGTTAATTGCTGAGAAAGCGCAGTGAGCAAGGTCCGTAACTGAGCTGCAGGATCGGTCTTGATCGGAAAACCCGTTGCACCCTTGATGGGCGCAGCGCGAAAAGGTCTGGCACGCGCGCGCCCGCTGCGAGCTCGACTCTGTCCAGAAGAATTCGGGCTGCCTTTCATGCGGACCCCTCGAGATTCGCGACCCGCTGCGCACATGGATCACCAAGAACCGCAGCCGCCGCGGGGCCGGCTAGGAAACCCCAAGACCTCTCAACGAAGCTAGCAGGCAGAGCAGGCCCACGCGCGGGCGCACAAGACAGCCAAAGTTCACTGCCCCAAAAGAGCACCAGGCATCTTCTCGAGCAGGTCCATCGCGGAAGGGCTGCTGCGCGCATGCCTCTGCTTTGCCCGCGCCTTCGCGGAGAGGAGGGGAAAGGGGGAAAAAAAGAAATTAGCCTGGCGAAGGACCCAACCATATGCAACTGTGAATACCGCAAGTGTGAATATCGTTTTCGGCGGCGCTACCTCTGGGTAGTGGAGACGCATGCGAACACCCCCACTGGGGCCTTCGGTGGAGCTCCCTATGGGGCTACGAAACGCTGCCCTGGGTGGGGGAACCGCATGCAGGCAGCCCCACTGGGGCCTTCGGTGAAGCTCCCTGTGGGGCCACGAAACGCTGCCCTTGGTGGGGGAACCGCATGCGGGCACCCCCACTGGGGCCTACGGTGGAGCTCCCTCTGGGGCTACGAAACGCTGCCCTGGGTGGGGGAACCGCATGAGGGCACCCCCACTGGGGCCTACGGTGGAGCTCCCTATGGGGCTACGAAACGCTGCCCTGGGTGGGGGAACCGCATGTGGACACCCCCACTGGGGCCTTCGGTGGAGCTCCCTATGGGGCTACGAAACGCTGCCCTGGGTGGGGGAACCGCATGTGGACACCCCCACTGGGGCCTTCGGTGGAGCTCCCTATGGGGCTACGAAACGCTGCCCTGGGTGGGGGAACCGCATGCGAACACCCCCACTGG